TATCAGGAAGGAGAAGAAAAATGAGAAGAATTAAAGTTACTATCATTTGGAATAGGAAGATCTTCAATGAGAGAATATATACAAAGATACGTATCATTGACATTTTATCATATATAAATTAATAAAGATGGTACCACTTGGGTTTTACTTTTTAATTTAATACAACACTTTATTTTTCCACGAGCGCGTACTCCCAGTGCCTTTTTCAACCTTTCATGTTTAAAAGATAATTTTGCGCTGTTAACAAATATTACAAACGTCGATATGTCTCTATCAATATCTACATCCGATAAATGTACGATAAATGTGTGTCTCGAACACGACGTAGCAAACGCATAACGATAATCGATCGTTCAAGATTCGCATCGCTCAAGATTCAACGGCTGTACGTGCCCGAGGGCGGCAATATGCAAAATAATTCTGCTTATATATCACAGCGGAGGAGCAAGGGACCGAAGGAACGCGATCGGTGTAGTCGGTGCCGCGTTTGACAGAGCAATGCTTTCCTCCGGCAAAACGTATGGCGGTCGATCGTGCGAAATGGACCGGTGAACGGCGAACGCGGGCGCGAGCGGGCCGAACAAAAAACGACAACCGTGAGTTGTGCGCGGCACGTTACGACGTAATGTAAAGGCCACGAGCGCGTCCTGAGCGAAAAAGTTTTCTCGTTATCCATCCATCCGCCCGGGGACTGCCGGGCGAAAAAAGGCCGGCAAATTGCGGATCCACAATTCCCGCCAAAGCGACCTGCATCCCCCCGGCCTGATCCGCGCGCGCGGATGTTTCAATCGCGCGGAGACGCCGGTGATGGCATTACGAATACGCGCCCGTACAAATAATCCGTATTCCATCCGACGTTCTCTTTTACGACGAGCCGATCTCCGGGAGGCGGGAGACTTGGCCGAGATATATATATATATACGAGGAAAATGAGGCGCCGAAGGGGATGAAATTGGCAGCGGCGGTTCGTGTAATACCCACGCTTAAGATCCGCTTTTAGACGTAAATACGTATTTAAAGTGGATCCTTCTACGAGTCGCGAGCACGCTTTACTCCAACGCCGCGTACGCTTCAATTATTTCGCCCTTTGCTCGCAGCAGTTATAATAAGCCGACATTGTTCCCCGAAGTATCGAAGTTCCAACGACGCTCGCAATATCCCGTATAATTTGTATACGCGCGTCTCACAGACTCACAGACTTGATAAGAGCGCTGGAGATGAAATTCCGGGATTGCGCGAAGGGGCAACTGTGGATGCTTTAACGTTGCTCTCCGCGATCCTTTTTCGACGGGGTTTCGGGCGCGGCAATTTTCAGGGAGAACGATTCGTAATTTCGCGAATGCGAAACAACGACGCGTAAATATCAAATGTCAGAATGTTAAATAACAGCGCGGGGATGAAAGCCGGTACGGTATAGCCCATCACGTATAGCCGGACCCCGGATACGTTATTGTCGTCGAACGATATCGGTGGCGGTGGCAGCGCGCGGATTGATACCGGAGCGTCAAATTGGCCGATTTTCCCCGCAATTCCCCACGGTCCGCTATTCCGCGGTCGCGGAATTTATTTTCGCCGATGCGAAGCCACCACCGCGGCGGTGGAGACGGCGAGGGGGGGGGCGGGGTGGGGGATATGTGGTTGACGATATCCCGCCTGCGGATACTTTAACGCGAAACGCGAAATTTGCCGGCTCGTATTGCGAGCGGCGCGGCGCCGGGCCGGCACGAGGTTGAATCATCGGACACGTCCATCGATCCGCCTCTTGTCGATATGAATATCTATTAGACGTAATTGATGTCTACCATCCGGCGTAGCGAATGCCGCGGTAAATGTCAAATCGGCCTCGCCCACTCTGACTGATCGGTGTTGTGAAAACGCTTCGGCTCCGATAGACGAGCTGCCAGCAAATTGTCTGTTGGAAAAATTTCGCTGTCGCGTGGGACATCGAGATATCGAACCGCTTTCAGTTTTCCCGCTCCGTCAGCGGCGCGCAGCTATGCGAAGTGTATTGGAAATAGGACGGGGGATAAAGGACAGGGATTTTTCTACTGTGTTTACGCGTTTCGTTAATTAATCGCTTTAATTCCACTCGCGAAATTTCGAGTCGCTGTACGTAATAAAAGGTTGTACTCATTGCGAATTCTTTTGCTGCGTACGGTTTGACGAGGGCAACGACAAGGGTGGGTCTTGCTGCTTCTTTCGAGGAAACGTGTGTGTTTGACTAATTGTGAGAGAAAATTTATATATATATATATATATATACATGAAGATACGACGAAAAAGTTAACGAGCGCGACGCACGTGCTCTTAGTTAATTGGAGTGATAAAAAAAGCCGTGAGAAGGATATAAGAGCTATCGGTTGGTAAAGATACTTAGCAGGCAAAGGGAAGTTTTAATGTCGGGTCGACAGCAGGATTTAGGTGCGGTAATAAGTTGAAGGGATGGTAAGAGAGAAGAAACTGACGCCACAGAGGAAAGGAAAGCCGGGGAGAAGGTCTGCAAAGTTTGTGTGAGAGTGATAGGAGGACAGAGTAACGCATTTAATGAAAGAGTACGTTGGTGGGCAACGAGAAGAGAGAAAAAAGGGAAGAGGTGTTGGGCACTGAGGACGAGTTAGATTGGACGGAACAAGTGATGAGAAAAAGAAGCGGAAAAACGGGAGAAAGTAAAGCGCGAGGAAAAGGAGGATACGCGGCGACGCGGTCAAATTTAAGAGATGTAGGAAGACAGTAGTGTGGAAGTAATTGAAATCGCAAGATTAATGCGCCGGGGAACCGACGTTCCTCCGGGATGTTAATGAGAGAACATTAGATATAGTTCTTATCTACGTTTTTGCCGAACGCGCGCGACGCGCGAGGATTAAAAATCTCGCGGAAACATCGTTCGTACACGTGAAACTCACCGTAATGTCGCATGCTAAAAGCATTATTCACGTACTATTAACTTTACCATTTATACACCGTTGTAACATCAGTGGGAATAGATAGCGTATTGTTAAAATGAAAATAGATATTAATTACGTAATGTAGGATTCAATAGAGAGCGCACTCGGGCGCGCGCTGCCGTAGCCATAATTATTATTTCGATATTAGCTAACAAGACATTTAACTGGGCTAGTTTATACAGCTCTTGACCAAAATTGATTCGCATTTCGCACGCGAACTGCAGCAGGAGATTAATTCATGTCCAAGATATTATCTCATCCTGTACACATAATATCCAAATATTCATGTCATCGCATATCCACTATCATAACCACCGCCCGTTACCTGTATAAACAGGAAGAATAGACCTGCGCGGCAGATTCTGCAATCGATTACCAGTGAATAGCGTTTCCATTTTACACTATATAGCTTCTATTTTACGTCGAAAAATTTAGCGCGGGAAAATGTTATTTTTTTTTTTTTTTTTTGCAAAAAGAAAAAGACCTTACCGTACCTTCATCTCTTTGAAAAAAATCTCTGATATTAGAATTATAAAAAAAAAAAAAAATCAAACGCGCCGTCACAAATAATTGGTACTCTCGAGCGAGTTACCCCGTTCGAACGACGACGGACAGAAAAATCCTGCGCTTCCGCAGGGTCAATCCAGCAATAAATCTCGCTTTTCGCCGTGTACATCGCGGAAACAGCGACGTAATACTGCCGGGAACTAGCCGATCCGCGAATCACGATCCGCCATTTACATCGAATCGAACTCGACGTCCGAGCAGGCTCCACCGCGTTCCACCTGCCTGTAGGATATCCAAATCCTGCCGGGGATGTGGTACGTCGTTCGATACCCTTCCCCCTCCCCCCTCCCCACACCCTGTCATACTCCTCCATTTCCTCCACCTTCCTCCACCTTCCTCCCACCTCCATCCCCCTCCTGGTCCGGGTCCTAGCAAGAAGAATCGATACATACCTGAAGTATCCCGCGTATTTGTCCGCTCTTCGTCTCGACGATGCGCGAGGCGTAGCGGGTCACGGGCGGCTGCGAGGAAGCCGCGCGGCTGCGGCCGGCCAAGATTAACAGGACGATCAGGGGCAGCAGTGCGAGTCCTACGCGCAGAGAGCAACGGATCGGCCTGATCAGGCAGCACCACGTCGTGACCAGCGGCCGGCTCCGGGCCGCCGGCTGGCATGGCAGCGGCATGACAGCATTTGCTGGCGGCCACCTGCAGCGATGCCACCAGCATAACCGTACGGCGACCTTGGTCGTCGATGGACAGCCGAAGCCGGTCAGCCCAGCCGGGGGTGCACCTCCGTGAATCCCGACAGCGGCGGCACTCCAGCGACGGCGGTTTCCAGGATCGATGAATCTCTCCTTCTTTTTTAACTTGTCCGCGATGAACGATGCAACCTGCCGCAAGTCGCTCCTCCGTATTCCCGTATTACGGCCCGGCACAGTCGCTTACCTTCCGCGCGTTTTATTCCGCTCTTAATTCCCTTCTCACTCACGGGCGACTCCGAGACTCTCCGGTGCTCTTCGGCCGAAGTCCAAGTTAAATTGCTCTCAAAACATCTTGAATAAGAAAGTTAGGGGGACGACCGGCCTCCGCGCCGCCGTCAACGTGGAGAGCGGACGGCTTTGAATGTCGAAAGGCAGGCTCCGGTCTGTAAGCAGGCAAGCGAGAATACGAGATGTAATGGAACGCCCGCAAGATTTAGTACTTTATTTTTTCCGATAACTGCAGTTTACGCAAGACTCGGTAAAAAGACTCGGTATGTATACACAATTACTTATATTATTACTTATTACTTTAACTGTCATTTTGAGTAAAAACGTAATATATGTACATTATATACAGTATCAGAAGTGAGCGGATTCGTGATAATTCGCGCTCTTTGATTTCCTCAAAAACCGCTTCTCTATTCTCTTCCATAATGAATTCTCGTACTGTGTTGAAGTTGTAACTAATATACGTAATATAAAAATAAATATTCCAACAATTACGAATTTTAATAGACTTTGAACGTACAATAATATAACATGCCATGAACACCATCACGTGGAAAAAAAGTATTATGCCGTTAATTTATCGCAATTTCAGCGATATTTCTCGTTATTTTTAGCAAAATTCTATACTCTACAGACATTTTTAAACAGAGTTTCAATCGCTACTTTTTCAGTTTTGATTTTTTAATATAACAAATGTGGAACTCTTTTATTTTTGTAAGTAAATGTTGAACTACGAAAAGCGCTACTGGAACTGTCATTTTTTTTATATTAATAAAATGTTGTGTTAACTTTACATATTCCACTTTTGAGTATCCGTGAAGTTAGTCCGATTTAGTTAGTTTTATTAATATGAAAGAAATAATGACAGTTCCAGTCTCTCTCTCTCTCTCTTCATAATTCTACTTTATAGTTCCTTATAAAAATAATAAGTGTTGCTTATTTTATTTATTTTTATTTATTTTTTACAGATTTCAATTTATCTATTAAAATTCTCTCTCTCAGAATCAAAAAATTAATTCTACCTTAAAAGTCTAACATTATTGGCGAGGAATTAAGATCGGAATCTCATTACCGCAAAACTCAAGAATATCTTTCGCGATCAAGCCATTATTCGTAAAAATGGTCTTTTGTCCACGCTCGCTAATTACAACAATAAGCCTATCAATGCGAATGAATCGCACCAACACCGACGGGACTTGCTATTAATCATTTTTAAAAAATCGGTGATCCATTCGATACCGCTGTCCGGTTTTGTGGTGAATTCGCTCGGTCGGACGTGACACACTGATGAACGGACACGATTCGATCGATCGGCAGTTTCTAAATTTATGGAATTCGCCGGTCCAGTCGCGCGCGAATCTGCGGCGCACAGTACGATTAATGCGTTTAACCGAATCAATCACTTTATTAATTAATTCTACCATACGATCGGCGGAACGCTTTACGATCGGCATTAAATAAATGGATTCCACTACATTGTCAAAATCGTGACCACAATCAAATCTGGGTTTGTCCTTAAACCTCAGATTAACTCGCATTAATCCATTATTAAATGTATATTGTCATATCTGGTAAATTCTGTGAACTTTCATCAGTTTCAATCTTTTGTTAGAGACACAGAAATATTTGTAATTACTTGGGATAGAAAATGGATAAAGACATGAAAGAAATCTTCGTGATCTTTCAACAGTAATAACCGTAAAGCCAATCGTAATTCATGTGAGACAATTTTTCTGCAATA